AAATTATTTGAATTAAATTATCTTCAAACATCTGGCTTTATTCTTAGTAAATAAGAAGAATTATATTAATAAGGTATTAAATCAATCATTTAGGCTATTAACTACATTTAAATTAATAATATGATGAGGCCATTAAAATATTGGATAAAGTATTAAATTTAAATTAAAAACATTAATTATCATTAGTTATTTATATTTAAGTTATTAGCATAGTGTTTAAGAGGACTACGTTAATATGATTAAGCAATCTTTTGGGTGGAAAAATCTTTATAAATTGATCCGAACCATTTTCCTTCATTGTATTCTAAAGGCATGATTAAATTTTTATTCATTAGCGGAAAGTTTAAGGGGACTACGTAATTATAAAGAAGCAATCATTTGGGCAGATAAAGCTTTATAAATAAATCCAAAGCATTGCCCAATATTATTGATTAAAGGTATGATTATATTTTAATTTGTTAGCGGAAAGTTTAAGAATGCTTGAATAATATGATAAGGCAATCTCTTGGATAGATTAAGCATTATAAATTGATCCAAATAATTGTAATTCATTATTTACTAAAGGTATGTTTATATTTTAATTTATTAGCGGAAATTTTAAGGGGACTAAATTAATTTTCTGGAGCAATCATTTTTGCAGATTAAGCTTTATCAATAAATCCAAAGCATTGTAATTCATCATATTCAAAAAGTACTCATATTTTTTTATTTAAAGGTGTTTCATTATTTTCATTAAATCAATTTAATGAAGCTCTGAAAGTGAGTGAGTTATCTCTATAAATCGATCCAAATCATTTTAATTCATTATTATTAAATGGTTCATATGAAAGGGATACTCTTATTATGCATTTTATTTTGAATAACAAAAACAATGAAATTTCAAAGTTAATATATATTATAATTTATATGAGATTAAACTTATATAGCATTTATTGAGGAATATTATATTGTTATTACTATGTATAATACATTGTCTAGGAATACAAAAGTTAGCCCACTTAATTTTAAATTATACTCCAATATCTTTTATCTAGATTTAGTATTAAATATAAGAATTTAATATATATGTTTGGAGCTTTATTTATTGAGCAAGTATCTTTTTAAAGAGATATTCCTAAATTAAAATATTTATACCTATTATCAGATTAAAATAAAATAATAAATTGATTACTCTTTCTCTCTTAGAGTTAGATTCTAATTACATTATAGATGGAGCAAAGACTAGTAAGTATAATCAAATAGTTAGTATAAATAGAATGTATTTGTAAATTTTACCAAAGAAGAGATATAAAGAAAAATTATATTAAAAAGGATAATTTTGTTATTCCATCTATTCTAAAACCTTACTTTTTAATATTAGAAGGAATTCTTGGCAAATTATTATTCATAAGGAGAATGTAGGAATAAAGGAATAAGGATTTTCATTTTTTAACAAATCAACAAGATCATTTAGCTAAATATTCAAATATTCTAGAAACTGTTATTTTTTTAAAACAATTAAAAAACATCAGCTAAATAAAAATAACACATTATTAGAGGGATAGTAATGATAAAAATGAGGATTGTTTTCAAAAATCAATTTTAAAGAAAAAAAAATCATTATTGACCATAACAAAACAACTGAAAATTTTAACCAGAAGAAATTGTGCTGATAGCATAAGCAAATTTGTAAAAAATCTTGAATATATTTTAACATGAGTCATTAAATGCAAATAAAAAAACTTCTAACTTCATCTGAATTCAAAAGTGAAAAATAGGATTATTCAAAAAGGATATTATTCATCCCTTAATATTTACGAATACATATGATTTAAGATTTACTGTAAATTATATGAAGAAGCATATTAATATTGCTATCGTATAAGAATTACAAATTTTTTTAAAAGTTAGATTGATGTAATATTTTAATAATGCGCACTATGATTTAGAGCAGAGACTTCATAAGGAAAGATTTTTTTGATAAATTTATTATTATATTTAAATATAAAAATGGCTCCATCATTGTTAATGGATCTGAATTAAACAAATGATAAAAACTCAAAATTACATCCATAATAATTAAATAAGATTAGAGAAGACAAAAAGTTAATTTATTTATGCTTGATATTATTCCTAGATTAAGAGGAGGAGGATGTGTAGCTACATAAAATCCTTAGAATAAAGTAACAAAATTAAATAATAAACTTCCAATTAATTTTTCCTCAAATATCAAAGATCACACTAACATTATATCTAAAAAATCTTTAACTTTTTCTGATAAAATAAGTTAAGATGAAATACTGTCATCATTTTAATGGTTTTACAATCATAAAGAATACTTTTAAATACTTTGTAATGATGATTAATTAAATTAAATATTTTATCAACTCATTGAGATAAGTGCTGAATAATTATTAAAATAGTTAGTAGTATATATAAGACTTTCTGGGTTTTTATTTTATTAACTGCTAGATATTTGCAATGATCTATTTAGAGTCATATTTTCTTATTAATTAAAGAATGAGGATAGATATATGTAAGAAAGTTTAAAGCAAAATCTGCTTGAAATTATATCAGAAATAGAATCATAAATCAGTGTGGAATCTATAAATATATGGAAAAATGGAGTCGAATTTGAACTTTAATTGATAAAGACATGTATTGCTCATTGTAGAACTAATTCTGAGAAGGAAAAAGAATTAGTAATTGCTATAGTATGTGGAGTAGCGAGTTCGATTTCATAGTTATCCCCAAGTGCTGAATTAATTGATGCTTTAATAGAAGCAGGCAAATATTTACTTCTAAATTTTTATGATAAGTAAATTTAACATCCACTTCAAAAATATGAAAAAGACTACTTTTTTGAAAATTTAAAATGGTCCATAATTAATTAGGTTATTCTGTTTAAAAAACAATTAACACTGTGTTGGATGGATTTAATTTATATATAAAGCCATCTAAAGATTGGATGATACATTTTTGTTGGGTTAAATTTATATCTGATTTGATGTCTTATAGACCAATTGTAAACAAATTTACACTTACTCAAACTTAAAATTCTAATTAACTTAATTGGAATGACCTAATAATTTCAAATCAAATTGTATAATTACCATATGATAAAGCATCAGGTAAATTTTAAATTTTTGGGAAAAAAAATAACCTCAATTTAAAAGAGTTTTGTTAATTAATACTATTTTAAGGATATTTATTAGATATTTAAGAAAAATTTTAATTATTGCCCTCTTATTCAATATTTTAATTTAATAATCCACAGGGAGAATTAGTTAATGATTAGGACTTAAATATTAAAAAATTAATAAGTGAATCCAATTTGGAAGTAGTATCAAAATTAAATAATAATTTATTATCTTCAAAAGATTAATTAATTAGTCTATTTGAAACTATAAATTAATAATTTACACCAAATGTTTCCAAAATCTAATCAAAGTTAAACAATTAAATATCAAGTGATGATATTATTTATACAATTAAGTAGATTAAACTATATACTTAATCGTTGGTATTTAATTTATATGAACTTAATATTATGATAAATTAAGAAAGATAAACTATTAAAATAATCCAAAATGTTTTAATTTAAAATAAATAATTTTATAAAGAAAAGAGCTTAGCATATTAAACTTCAATAATATATATTATTAAAGAATTGGAAGAAAAATATGAATAAGAATATATAATTAACTTTAAAAAATTTCCAATTTATTTAATCTCAATATTCCACATATTGTCAGTATATTAAGATGAAGTGAATTCTACAAATTTTATACCTGAAACCTCAAAAATTAGAATTCAAAAATGTAAATTTGATTAAAAATAATTTTAAGAGGCATTTACAAATTTTGTTAATTATGTTGATAAGTATAGCATCTAATAAAAATCAATTAAACGAAAATTTTTTAAAATATATGAATCAAAAGAAATTCATTTATTTTTATAAGAGAATTTCATAAAGATTTCAATCTTAGATACTAATTAATATATATAATTTCAACTTTATTTAATAATTAGGAGGTGAATTTGTCGAGTATTATAACAAATGCTTTATTCAATAAAAAGAATTGTCCTAAATTGATCTCAGACAACATAGAATAGTGAGCAAGTAAATTATTATGATTTTAAAACTTGTAAAGCAGTTATTAGCTATCGAATAAAGAAAAATTGTCTCACTTAACACTTATAAAGATAACGAAAATTCAAGAGTGAATACCCAATAATAGGATTAAATAAAAGATTAGTAAAATATCAATGTATTTTTAGAAAAGATAATAATTGAAAGAAGAACAATATTATAAAAATTACATGATAAATTTGGGGTTTAGATATAAGCTGATATTCATTAAGTAGATTTTAATTAAATTATAACATCATTAGAATGAAGGGATTGATTTAATTCATAAGTAAAATTGGTCTGAAGTATTTAAAAGCAAGCATATCTTGAAATTCAAGGAAATTAAAAATAAACTATAGATACTTGAATTGCTAAAACATCATTAACAGTCATTTATTATAGAAATAATAAGTCTTTTCAATAAATAGTTAGAAGAAATAAGTTAAGAAGAATAATAATAGTAAGAATTAGTTTAGATCGAATTGTTAAATATAACAAATAATAACATGCAATAATTAAAGAAATAATTTAATATATAAGATTGTATAACTTCTGAAAATCTTTTTAATTGGGATTCATCTATATCTGAAATATAATAGTTAATTTAGAATTTCAAAAAAATAAACAATATTATTTAATAAAGAAATGAAAACATTTAATTAACATAAGTTTAATTTCAAAAACCAATGATAGAATTAGTGGATGATACATTTAATTCAAATTATTTTGAAATATATTCTGATTTGAAGATTGAATTGATTAATTTCTTAAGTAAGATGGCTGAATCAAAATAGATTATTTTCAATGAAAATTTTTTAAGATAATTATCAGAAGAACCTTGTCTTGATTAGAAAACAACCATATAGATTATATCTGAAGGTTCCTCTTTTTATATTAGAAGAGTAATAATGCTAATTAAGAGTTTATTATTGACAAAGCATATACTTTTATGCTCTAAAATTTAAAGATAGAAAATAATGTTTAAGAAGATGGTTTTCTTGTAGAATCTTCATATAAGGTTAGAGAAGCTACAGTATTCAATTTAATTAAAATGTAATCATTTTTGCATGAACCTGTAATTTAAGAATTTTGTTAATCACTCTTGAAATAGATATGGACTATTGAAAAGCATGATAGTGTAAAAAGTATTTTAAAAAAAAAAGAAATGATTGAAATGTAGAAAAAATTATTTTCTCAAGATCTTGCCACATTTTCAAATAAATTGAAGATAGAAATGCAAAAAAGATTGAAAAGTATAGAACAATTAGAAACTTAAGTTTTAATCAGCGATAATTAAGCAATAATGAAGAATTAACTTCAATAAGCTTATGAAGAATTTGAAAACTATTTAGATAATGCTACGGATATGTCATAAAGAATGGATATTAGTCTAATTTTTTTAAGAGAAATTAGCAAAGATCTAAAGTCAATAAAATCTTCAATTGATATAGTTCTTTCAAGTGTTAAAGGAATAGAAGATGATGTAAGAAGATTAAGTGGTAAAAATTATCTTTAACTATTATAAATTAGGAAAGAAAAAATACTGAAATAAAAATAGGAAACAGAATTAGATTAAGTTCATATTTAAATTACCACTTAAGAATATGACCCAGTCACAGGAAAGAAAAAAGAAAGTATTAACAGAGTATTAACTTCATATTTATTGAAATAAAATATAATAATTTTCATGGAGAAATTAATGAATTTTTGTGGTGTGAAAGTGAAAGGCAAAAAGATGTTCTGCTTCTAAAAGGAAAAGCAGGCTAGGTAAAAGTAGAGCATCAAGAAATATAGAGGAATTTCTTTGGTAGAATGATGCTGTTCTTCCTTATTGGATTCCAATCTATATTTCATTACCATCTTTAAAAGACCCAAAACATAATTTATTAGAATAAGCCTTAGAATCACAGAATTATAATTTCGATAAGATTTAAATTAGAGAATTAAAGAAGCTGTATTTAATGGAAATCTAAAAATTATTTTGATTTTAGAAAGCTATGATGAAATGAAATTTGATTGCATTTAATCTAATTTATATTAAACAAATAGATTGGCATAAGATCTAAATCTTCAAATTTCAGGACAAAATGTAAAATTAATCATAACTACAAGAGAAGAAATTTTAACATCAATTAGATATTAAACATGGTTTTATGGTAAGAATATTGAAACTTTAAAAGAAGTAGAAATACTACCATTCACATAAGAACAAAGTTTAGAATATATTAGGTTATATTGTGAAGTCAGTGTTAAAAGAGCTATTAAAAGATTTTATGAATTTTTTAAATAATTAAGAGGATAAACTATATCCACCAATGAATTCAAAGTAATATGGAGTACTTTGGAAGAAAATATTAACATCATTATTAATTAAAAATAAAATTAAGATTTTTTATTCAATCCCTAAGATGTAGATAAAATCATTATAAAACTATAAGCAATTGAATTTTTTAATCATATTAGAACAGATTAAATGATTTCATTGAAAAAAGAGCTTACTAAATTATGGGGTCAATAAAAATTTACATAAGTAATTAAAAATGTGAATATTAATCATTTTATGAGTACTCCATTTATGATGGAATTGATTGTTTATGTACTACCTAAGATGACTTTGATATTTTCAGAACCTAATTATTTAAGAGACACTTTAAAAAAATAATATTAAAGTTAAAAAAAGAAGCCTATTTGTAATATTTATTAAGAAATTATTATAAGAATTAATAAGAATAAATATAAAATTAGGATGTATTTTATGAAATAATCAAGTTTTCATAAAAATAGACTGAGTCTTAAAATTTTATAGAATAATTTTAAGCAATAGAAAATGAATTAGATAATTAAAATTTTTTTGAAAATTTTTCAATGGATTATCAAATAGAATTTTTGGGTTCTACTAAAATAATTTCAGGACAAGTGTTTAATTTAACTAAAGATGCAAATTTTATTGTTGGAGCATTTAAACTTAACTAATTTACTGCATATGACTTTTATGAAACATTTGTATCATTTTACCATATTCAACAACTTTAAAATTAGAAAGACTTAGGGAAAAATTTAATTATGAAACCACCTTAAATGATTTACAAGATTTTTATTTTTAGCACTTGATATGACTAAGAATTAACTTACTTAAGTGAATTACAAGTAAAGAGGTAAATTGTAGTTAGAAGAAAGTTTTAAGTAAGGATAAAATTAAAATTTATGGGAAGATTACTATTTCGATGAAAATTAATCAAATTCTGAATATTGTAAATTCCTAAAAAAGTGTATATTATTGACCTCTAAAGGTAGCATATATACTCCAATTTAAGAGTTTTTTGTAGCTAAATATATCTTAAATTTGTTTGAAGCAATGTTTGAAGAAAAAGATATTCAAATTGTAGGTAAAAATTTATAAAATAGTCGATTTAATGTAGATTAATTTAATATATCTTAAGAACACTATTCAGGTTCAATAGAATTATTAAAACCAAAGTTGAATTCTATTTCTAATATTAAAGATAAACTGCTTTAAATTACACAATTATCCTATACAAACAACTAATACCAATTAATTAGAACAGCATCAAACACAATATATCTCTTAAGTTCATTATAAGAAAATTTAAATAATATAAATTTCAGTGAGGTTTCTCTATCTGATACAAAATTAAATAACCTTAATTTTTTTAATTCTAATTTAAACAAAACTAAGTTCAAAAATATATCAATTTAATCATGTAATTTCACCTGTGCAACAATTGAAAAGGCCTACTGGGAAAATATAATATGTAACGAGAAAAACCTTAACTGGTCACAAAAAATAAATAAAAAGTTTATTTTTCTCTAAAGATGGAAAAAAATTAATATCAGGGAGTGAAGATGGTACAGTTAAAATTTGGTAATTCTAAGTTGATAAAGATCCACAAACTTTTTAATTTCCAAATAATTAATAAGTCGTTACTGCTTCATACAATGAAGAATAAAATATTCTGGCATGCTTAACTACATAATCCATATAATTATTAAGATGCAATGATTTAGTCTTGGAGAAATTAATTCCTCTATAAAATTATTAATATTCGAATATTATACTATCTCCTAATACATAATATATAATTGCAAACAATATTAAATCTGTCTACAATATTTGGAAAACAGAAGCTTTAAAAATAAATCCCAAAGCTTCGGATTGTTAATTAACAGTTTAATCATCAATAAACTGCACCTAAGTTTCACATAATGGGAAATTATTAGCCATAGGTTGCTTGTAAATTTTAATTTTTTCGATTAGAGCATTTAAGATTATTTAGAAATTACATAATTACCATTTAAAACTTATTCATTAGCTTTTTCTAATGATGATTAAGTACTAGCTGCAGAAGTAGATAAAGCTAAAATTAATTTTTGGAGTCTAAAGAATATCAATAATATTGAGTTACTTATTTCTATAAAAGTAGAAGACACAATCAATAGACTGTTGTATTCTTATGATAATCAATAATTGATTATCACTACATTAAATAAAATTTACCTATATGAAACTACAAAAGAATAGTATGCTTTAGAAAGTAGTAAAAAACTAATTCATTAAGAATTTTCATAATACAATGATTTTGAACTTATAAAAAGTTCTAATTATATTGTTATTTGTACTCCATTCGGAACTTTTTTAGAATAATTAAGCAATAATCAAATAATATAAGAATTGGAACCATAATAAGTCTGCAACTCTGTTTTATATAATTCATTGGATGATTTATTGATGATTGGTTCAAAAAATAAACTCATCCTTTATGATATGTCAAATATAGAGAAAGCCAATAAAATTAAAGAAATTTAATTGCCCTTCGATACCCTATAAATAGGTTAATTTAATAGTTTAAAATAAATTATAATTAGGAGTGAATAATATGTTTCATTACATACTTTAGATGATATCAATTCTTATAAGATGTTTTAACTATAAAAACCAAATTAAAATTTCGTTTTAGTCAATTCTGAGTATTTCATAATAGGCATAGATAAATTAGTATATTCTTAATCTCTTCTTGGTGATTTCGTAGATGTTTACTTTTTCATAGATCATCATAGTGCTTAATTATGTTCTTTTTTTTCCCCCGATAGCAAAATATTAACAATAATAGACAGTTAATATTAAACATAATTTGATATTTAGACAAAATAGATGATCTAAAAATAAAAATTAAATACTGGAAAGGTTTCAAAAATGACTCTAAATAAACAGTAAACTCAAGCAATTTTTGTATGTTAAACTTCTCCAGAAAATGAACAAATATAATTATATAATCTTAAGACTAATTAATTGATACAATCAATAGAAGAAAATTCAAATTTTTCATAACAATGTTTACAAATAGCATTTTCTGCAGATAGTATGAATTTTATTACTTTATACAGAGATGATTCAATTAAATTGTGGGACATTAAAACATATAAACTTATTTCTATGTTTAAACCTAATACTGCTTCAATTAATTTGTTAAATTTTTTTAATTAAAATTTATTAGCCTAAGTAAATCAAGAACATATAAAACTTTGGAATCTTAAAGCTCTATAGCAATAATAAATAGAAATGCCTGGCCATAAAGATTATATCCAAACAATGTTAATTTCATCTGATGGATTACAATTAATTTCTCAATCATCATCTTAAATTATGAGATGGGATTTGCAATAATTGAAGTTTATTGATGTATTAATGAATAATAAAACGGATAAACTATTATTGATAAAGTATTCTAATGACTCTCATTATTGTGCTGCTACTGATTAACATGGATAAATTGTGATTTGGAGTTTCAATACAAAATATTTAGTTGAAAGAAGCTTTCAAATTTATTGTGCTGATTGTAAGGATTTTTACTTTGATGACGAAAATAATTAATTAATATCAAAACATATAATTGTTGATAATTCTCAAATTAATTTGATTTGGAATTTAGAAATAGCATATTAATATTATAAATTTAAGAATCAGATGAATTTTAACTATTCAAAAGATGTTATATTGATGTCTCATGATTAAAAATTTTATATATCCAAATCTCCATTAAAAATTTTATGTCTTCTAGAAAAGGGTTAATAATAAGAAGTTGAAAATGTTAATATAAATATAAATTCTGAAATAGGAGCAATAGCAATATCTAAAGATTCCACTAAAGTGGCTCTTGAAGATGTAAAATTTTCTATCATATTATGGTCGATAGAAACAAAATAATAGCTAGCTATTTTAAAAGATGAAACAAGTAGCTAATTTAAAATATTGACAATGGTATTTTCAGAAGATAGCAAAATATTATTTTCATTTAATGAGGATAGAGAAATAAGACTTTGGGATAGGATGATAAATATACATTGCTTTAAAAATATAATTCTAAAATGAGCAAATCTTTAAAGTTTATTCATGCTTTTTCTCACAATAATGATGATTTTCCCATTCTTTGGGTAGAAGTACCATCCCAATAAGGCTACATGGATGTTACTTACAATCAATACTACATATATCACAAAGTTTAATCTAGAATCTAATTACAATCGTGACCTATTGAAAATGACTTTCCAAGTTATACTTCTGCTTATTTTAAAGATAAGTAGTTATTAGCAATCTAAAGTAGTGATTCACTTCATATTTGAGACATTATCTCAAAAAAAGCTCTTGTGATTCTTGAGGGTAATCCATTAGCTTCATCTACTTAGTCAAACATTTTGTACTTTTCAGCAAATGGACAAACTCTATATGGATTAGGAAAGGATCAAAAACTAAGATGTTGGAATTGGTAGAGTAATATTAAAGTAATTTTAAAACAGCAAGTACCAGTTAAAGCATTCTAGATTAATGAGGAGACATAAGTTATTAAAGCTATTGGATAAGATAATTTAATATATGAATATTTATTTGAAGAATTTACAGAAATATGCTTATTTGGATCTAAAAATATCGAATTTCCAAAAGTTAATCTATAAAATAAAACACAATATTAAAAAGAAATTTTTGATTAAGGGAGAAGCTTAAAGTTGATAGATAAAACAACAAACTAAGTAAAATATACAATTAATCAACTTTCATTAATTACTTGTGTTGTATTTTCTAATTGTGGAAAATAATTTATTGTAGGATTGAATGATGGATCAATTTATATTTATGATGTAGGTTAATAGATAATAGAAAAATATAGAAAACCAGTTTGCATTAAAATCTTTGCTAGAAGTCCTGCTTTACTAGCTGATTGTTGTAATATTTAGGATTCAATATTTTTAACCTAAGAAAACGAGAATCTTCAAACACTATTTGTGTAAAAAGGAGCAAAAAAAGATGATTGATATTATTCATAGATCAATTAATAAATAATATATAAATTATAAACTTTTTAAATATAATAGAAGATTAAAAGAGATTTTATAACCAATATAAATAAGAATTTCTTTTTCTCATCTTCTTTATTTATTTAATAACTGTTGTCAAAACAATTTGGATTTTGGATTATATTCTTGAAGTGAAAATACATTATTTAACAGTAGGTTGGAAATAAATGACTCATTTTGCTCCATGAAAAAATAGTAAGAAAAACAAATAAAATAATAATGAGTTTTCTTACATGGAAACTAAATATATTAAATTCTAATAAATTACATACTTAAATCTAATTCGTATTAAAAAAAAAAAAGGGGGCATTACCATTATTATAATTTTTATTAATTTAAAATATTCAAGTCAACACACTATACTAATTAATAATAATTTAATTGATTTTATTTTTAATGATTACATTAAAGATCTAATCTCGAGTATTTTTCAGAACTTTCATTACTAATTTTAATTGATTTACTTATTTATTCTTAATATCCAACATATATCTTCCTTATATTTATATGAATATTTAATTTCTTTGAAAGTTCTTCCATAAAAAAGCTTCAAATTTATATTCAATAAACAGAGATAAAGACAAAACTTAAGATACTTTATCCTTAAAATAATAAAATTCAATTGAATCTTATTCTCTATAATTTATCAATGAATGCATTGCTTCTATAAATTAAATTTCTTTTTCTTCTAAAATATATTTCTCCCTCAGAACTAAGAAAGTTTACTCTAAAGTTTCGATATAGTTTTAATCTTTATAATAAAAATGCCTGATATGTAAGTTAAATAAACTTATTACTTATTATTTGAGTTGATTAAATTTTCTTGATTTAATATAAGAAATTCAAGGTTATTTAACTAAATTTAAGAAATAAATAGTTTAATTTTTTAGATAAATTTATAAGTATCCAATAGCATATCTATTTGGAGAAATCATTCTTTAAAATATAAAAATTTTATTTTTATAACAAATATTAATAAATCATATTGTGTTAACTTGTTATGACTAGTCATAAATTAATTAAAACGTCTAATATAATTTTTATGAAGATAATGATAAAAAGACTTAAAATTTAGAAAGGAATTATATATTTTTAATAATTCTCATGGAAAGTGCTTATATTCTCTTAATTATATAAGAGATGATTTGAAATCCCAAGTAATCAAGAATTATCCATCCTGGCTCATTGTTCCAAATATTTAACTCCATAAGACTTTTCTGAAATCAATTACTTATTACAATTTACATTCTAAAATTTCTTCTTTGTCTGAAAGATCTATACTTATTAAATTCAATTTATATCCATGTTTTACTAGTAGAAAGTTTTTTAAAGGTACATATACCATAGGGAAATAATGATTACAAGGTTAATCTCCTCCTTCAATTAATACTTCCAACTTTTTAAAAAATGTCTAGTTTCCAGAGTTTAGATAATATATTTATAAATTAGATTATTTATAAGGTTAAAATGCGAATATCGTATTTGTAATAAAAGATAATCTATATCCAAAATTTGAAACAATAATTCTTTGTGTTATAATCCATTTAAAACAATTTAATTCTTCTAATATTATAATTGAATTGTCGCTACTGCATGCAATTATTTTATTTCCCATATTATTTATTGATGATGAGTAAATTTATTAATTAAACAGCCTTATAGTTTGCATACATGAAGACAGTTAAATAGACCAAAATTTAATTGTAGAATCCTTTGAACAGCTAATAATGAGATCTTGTAATGTTTGTTATAACACAAAACAATTAATCCAATTAGAATGACCTTTAAATTTTATTAGATATTTTTAATTCATCATTAAATTAGATGGCCAAACAATTACTTAACCATCCCTTGAACCTGAAATAAACCAAGGCTTTATTTAAAAAAAGTTGAGAGTAGTGATTTCATTTATATGTTTATTGATTAGTTGAATTTATTTTAGATTTTTATATTTGAAGTAAAAAACTTTGATTTTCTATGAAGATCCTACAAGAAGTAAAGTATTATATTTATTCATAGCAAGTGCTTAGCAAAGTTATTTTTGGTTGTTATTGGATATTATTTCATAATTGAAATTTTGATGTTTTGATAATTCTTACATTAACTTTATATTATTTAATGATAATAAATATTACAAATCTTATATATATTTTTAAATGAATCTTTAACAGACAGAGTATTTAATTAGTTTATTGTATTAATAAATAATCTAGAGAAATTATCAAACAGTGTTTTAGATAGTAATTTAAAATTTATCTAAGGAATATAATTGTAAAATGATTTCTTAGGGTTCTCGAGATGAGAATATTGATTATATTTTGGTTTTTGAATAAATAATTGGAGCTTTTAAACAGGATTAGGATTCTATTCTTGCCATATTAGATCTATCCTCATCCTTTTTATTTACTATTTATTATGGAAATAAATTTTATTACTATTCCATTATTTTTTAAATTACCTCATTACATTTATATCTATTATCCTATTTTATTTTATTATGCTATTGTTTTATAATTTGAAATTAAAATATTATAGATATCGTCATCATTATAAAAAATAATCGAGTTTATTTATTTATTTTATCATTTTACTTTTGAGATTCTTTTCCTTATGTTCTAATTTACATTTTATAATTATAT